TGATTTTGTTAAGTTATGGATGTGGTACTCTCTATTTGAACATGTTTGATATTTTAATTATGAAATGTTATGTTATTCAAATTTTATTATTATGTGTTATGGTATGCGGGGTAGAGGGTGTCACAGACTAGGTGTGTCTCTTGTAGTGGGTTTTGAGGTGTGTTGATGTCTTTTCTAGGCCCTTAATTAGTAGTTGAGTAAGGTAGAAGGTCAAGGGTTACAACCTTTAACTAAGTATCTGAAAAAGTTGTGTGATTCCTTTAAGATAATTAATTAGTGGGCGAATTTTATATGAGATTTGATAATGCATGTCAAGGTCGTGGTAAATCTATACCTAAATATACTATTCCTAACGATGAAATTAGACTTTCATAGCGTAATTGACAAGACCTAAGAAACTAGACGAGAGATTGGTATCTCATTTTGTTTTGATTGAGTTGACGCTTCAGATGCAAAAATAATTGGGTTGGTTTAGTATAGTGGAGTCATTTAAACTACTCATATTGTTAGGAGATCTCCGTAGGTAAATGCATGATGACACATTAGCTGAGATGTTTGCATATGATGTATGTTGTGACATATTCATATACATTGATGGGTGTCTTGGTTTATGTGGTGTGAATGAGATACATGTGTTGCTTTAGAGTGTTTGACTTTCATGTATGTTTTGCTATGATGTTGTAGGTTATATAATTATTTACTATACTTATATGTTTTCAAACTCTAACTTACCCTTTTGTTTCCATTCTAATTTTGACTATAATAATCATACGTTATATGGAAATAAATCAGGAATAGGCTGAAGGAGCAGTTGCTGGTTGGAGGTTCGCAATGCCTTTTTTGGTTGGTGCCGATGCTACTGCGATAGCTTGTATAGTTATGTTCAACTAGCACTAGGACATAAGAATATTTTGAAATTACTATATATATATATATGTATATAACTTGTCTATACTAATATGGGTATTCTACTTTTATATTCACTATTATATATATATATATATATATATATATATATATATATATATATATATTATAGGAATCAAAATTAAAATATACTATTTTTACAAATATAAAAAAAAAAAA